CTGGGCCTCTTTGCTTAGGCTGCTGCCCCCGCGACCCGGCCCCGGATAAAGCGGATGAAGATGGATGGATGGACCTTAAAAGGGTTGTTGTTTCAACTTTTTGGGAATGGGGTTTGGGAATTTCTTATTCTGTGTTTTGTTGTTCTATATTAGTGAGGAAGCACAGTGCAATAAGCCTTATCCTCAGAGCAGCTTTTAATCCCAAAGTTATTGTAATGAATTATAAAAAGTTATATTTTTCATTATTAAATGTTGTTTTCATTATTTTTGTAAAGTGAGGTAAAGCTTTAAACAATCGCCAAGGTGGTAAAATGATTCTGTTTCACTCAGACACAACATTCTGGGTCCAGAAATTCGCCAAACCCTGGAGCTTCCAGTAAATCTGGGCCTGGGAGACAGACGACTTTAGCCTCCATACCGGTATTTTTTTCCATATTGGAACTGCAATATATTTCTAATGCCTCAGAGAAAGTTAACTAACATTTTCCAAATGCAGTAACTAAAAAATCACGACATCTCTTAACATTTCTAACAGTTCTCAATTATTCAGCTTTAAACTTAAGCTTTACTTTCAACCTTGTAGTAAATTATAGACTCTCCTGCTAGCCTGCTATAATGCATAGTTTTTATCTGTAAGTCTGATTCTGTTTAGGGGGTTTGACTTTGTGTGTTTCGCCTTAATGTTTGACTGCAGTTTTGCTTTTACAGCAAGATGTACTATGAAGCAGATTCGATAGTTTATTTGCTAGTGCTTTGCTTAATGAATCATCAAGTCCCAAATTTTAAATGTAGAATATGTAAAATTCAAAACCAGGCATGACAAATTTTGTGCCGCCATGCAGACGGCTCAACAGGTTTTCCGATAGAACATTTTCTATCTAGTTGAGAATTGATACCAGTCATGGGGCATATCATGTTAAAAAGAAATAACCTTCTCATGTCTAGGTTATGTGTTCAGCATAATTGACCATGGTGATGTTGCCAAGCTAAAAGACAGTCACCATTGTGACACAAAAAACTCCTGTTGCATGGCCCCAGCTTACTTATCTTACCTATTAATCTTGCTTCCTGGTACAACTCTGAAGTCTAGACTCTCTTTGACTCATTGTCAGCATACCCCTGGTTTCTGCAAACAGAGGGGTGGCCATGGGTTTCTCAAAAGTTTCTCTATAAAAAACAGTAATGATTTTCTTTATTGCTCAATCTGTGTCAGGCTAGCTTAGCACAACATATCCCATTAGCCACTTGAGGTCACTGCCCCCAACCAAGTAACAGAGCATCACATCACCACTCATAAAATCAGTCTAGCTAGCTGTTTCCCCACATTTCAGCTCTTAAAGTTTGCCTGCAAACTTTAAGGATCCTACATTTTTGTGCTAAGTTAGCTAAATCAGAGAGAGTCATATAAATCTGTGCACCTATTTCTTTAACGTACAACACTGAAAGCAAAACATCTATGTAGTTATCCATGCTTACAAGCTTTGTGGGAAGTACTGCAAATGTGCTACTAGCTGACATTGCTTTGTTATTATTTGTGAGCCTGTGAGTTTAAATTTACGTGTAAAGTGTATACTTCTTCGGGTTTTATCTTTTAAACTGGGAAATGCAGTATGCAGTGAAAGTGTCCTGCAGTTAGCTATTCACTGCAATCTCTGACATTTATTTTTGCATTGTCATTTATTTATTGGTATGTGTGATTTTTGCTTGTTTGGGGCCTTAAAGATTAACCCAGAGAGTGGCGGAGTAAATAGTAAATAAGTGGGCCAAGAAAATATAGTAGAGATGTCACATAGCTTTGTGAATTTTGTATATGTTAGAAAGCAACCTAGCTCAGGGCAATGTGAGTCATGGGACCTTGGTCTGCCTTAGTCATTGGTTGTGACCCGAAGTAAGAAGCTTTAGGTAATTCTAGTCAGTTCCAGCACCACACACATTATGCTATTAGTGGTTTCCATCTGCTTAGTGTGATGGCAGTAAAGTTTATATGGACATCTGCATGCATTTTGCATCAGTTATACTGAATGGGTACCTGTCAAAATAGGCACACTGTATGTATGTACTACTATTGGCCAAGAGAAAATGAAATAAAGCCAATCACAAGCTGGACAATGTTATGTTATTTTATTTGGATATTTGAGTGTATGACCTGCATATATTTTATTTCCCCCACCCAAAAAAGAAGTGTACATTAGCTGCTGGCATGTATGTACATGAGGACGATGTCTCCTTAAACCTGCATCTGCTACAAGCATCAAAGAAAAAAGCATCACTTGACATCTCTGTTTAGTTTTGATGCTTGCCCCTAGGTATTTTTAGGCTCACTCAGAAGAGCCCTGCGTACTGTGTTATGTAAAGACCTTCAAATCGAGAAGAAGCAGCAATACAAACTGGATTGTATGCATGCAGTCATGCCAGTGGGCATAGGGAATGTGAACATGTGTATTTAAAAAATATATAAATATATATATTAAAAAAATATGCAAAAAAATCCTGAAACAATAACACAAACAACACTCCATCTCCAATCTTTAATGGTTGCCCAAACCCCAGTTTCTGCAATTCTCCTTGTTAATTAATGTATTTAGCCATTTTCAGATGATTGCACTGGTAAGTATTTACTATACTTAATATATTATTTTGTCAGCACCCATTAGGATTTTTCAGTCTTCCTTTAAATGGGCTTTTTTAAATAAAGACAGGCCCCAGTGTATCCAGGCGGGGTTATAAATCACTGAAACAATAACGAAGAAATGTCAAATAATGCATATGATGCAGCCCATTTAAATGGATGCAGTGTTTTCTTTGTTTTGTTCAAATATACATGAACAATTAGCCTACAGTGCTTTCATACCTTTTGCCACACTCCCCCATTACTCCTGTACCTACTGGTTTGTGAAGCAACCAATAAAACTGGATATGGAGGTTGGAGGGACTTAGTTTGATACAGCAAATCAAAAAAATTAAAAACTTATGGAAGCAAAATACTTCTTGGGACTTTTGACACAGATGAAGGGATATTTCATTTGGGTTTTCCAAAGCAAGAACCAGTAGATACATGTGTAACCTCAGAGAAGCAAATGTGATTGTGTCAGACTGATGAAATTATAGTTTGTGCCATCCTGCGAAGGTTTAGTGTATATATACAACATGGCAATTTAAAGTATCTTTAGAGTCTCAGTACAGACTCTAGTGAGAATTCTTGTAAAGAAACAAGCTTTGACCTTGCATGAAAGTCAATATAGCTGGATTGGTAATCTAAAGTGAGCGATTATAACTCAACGATTTTCTGCAGTGAGACAAATGGATGACCAAACAACAGTGTGAATGTGTATTTATATTGCAAGCTGTGGCCCATTTGTTCTGGATGGTGGACCCTCCAGTAGCTACACCTTCCTTCTCTGCAAGACTGTTAGCTATAGGGAGCTAGCTGAGCGTAAACTGCTTGTCAATGATAAGTGAAATAACCAGATCAGAGCAGAGCTCCTTAAGGCCTCTTATCTCCCTCTCAACAGCCAGGCCTGCTAAAGCATCGTATTCTCTCTCTCCCACACTGTGGTGGTTTGATGTTTGCCTCATCTGTAGTGAACATGGAGTGGCTTGAAGGAGAGTGGTTCAGATCGATGGACATTGATGTAGGCCCATTACTTGAGCTGGTTGACTTCCTTCCTGCTTAAACAGCTCTGCAATCATTGGTTCAAAGTCCCAAAAGATTGGCTTCTCACTTATCTGGACTGCAAAGTCTGACTATGCGGGGATATTTTAAACATGTTTGCATTGGAAGTTAACTTTAACTTAAAGCTAAGACATGGCTGTGTAAATATAGAGTTCCAGACAGGTGCTGTGTTGTGTACTGCCTTTTAAAAGAAGAAGGCAGCACAGACGCAGTGAAGCCAATGTGTTTGTGCTTGTTGAGTTTTGTTGGCTATTTGGACCAATGAGTTACCTTATTGCATTTCTTTGTAAATTAACACTTTTACCATCGCCTTAACAAGTTTAACCGATATAAATCCCCCTAGTGTCAGGTGGCAAAGGAATAGCAGTTATCTGTGCTCCCAGAATCCTCTGTTCTCAGGGTCTGTATGTTCAATATTCTGGTGTTTGGGTCAACATTATAATTTTACATGTGCTATACACTATAAGCAACTATAGATTATGCTTTTATGGTTCTCATGCGTTGTCCAAATACTGACATATAGCAAGAACCTCGGAACACTGGACCCTTTCCCATTACGTGCCATACAATATAAGCCCGGGGAGCACGGGACCCCGTGGAGCATATGCGGGTGGCTGTAGCTCAAGACTTCTAATTAAAGTGTAAAGCACTTTGAGTTGTTGATAATACCAAAATTGAAGTAAATAAACTCATCACATTTATGTAGAACTCGAGAGATCTCATACTTCTTTGTCATGTTTCCATTATGTATCATGTAAATGTGGAGAACAACCTAACAACATAGCGTTGTTCCTCATCACTATAATGTTTTTATGAGACAATCAATCCAGCTGTTGAGATTTTAGAGCTTTTTAATTAGAGAAAATATTACTCAGTGTAGAAGTTTGTCATCGGGTTTTTCTGCCTGGCTTTTTGTCGCATGGTTACCATTGTGAAATATTCTATTAAAACCCCAAACATTATTTTCCCCCTTAACCTTAAAGTAACCACTGTAATGAAACCATGAAGGAGAAAACCAAACAGAAATAAAATCAACAACTGTAGACCTACATGGACTTTATTTTTTTGATAGGATTTCTAAATGAGTTGCTGCTTGGGTTCCTCACCTCTTTTTCCTTAATTACCTTAATTAATGACAGCTCAACAACATGGTTGGTCAGTTAGGTAATGTAACATCTTAGGAAGAGAACCAACATAGGAATGACCCTGCAGTTACTGCTAAATATGCTCTGTATGTAGTTTTTTCTTTCCTTTTGTGTCATTGTGATTAGATTTTATTTAGATGCTATGGCATTAAAAAAAAAAAGCTAAAAGGAAAAAGTTGTAAAAAACAAGTAGGAATAGCAGCAAGGCCTCTTCCCAGCCAGCATGTAACAGATTATTTAAAAAATGGATATGATACGTCTCAAATCAGTCTTGACTATGCTTCTCCTGTGCTTCATGTTTGTGGGGCAGTGTTACCACAGTAAGGCTGTAGTGATGTACAGATACTGGATCCAATAAACATTTACTGTCTGCCTTTTTGTTACTTTAAGGCACTTTAGATAAAAGCTTTCACTAAACAGTACAGTATATATTATAGATAGACTTGAGTTAGCTTTGTTGTAAGTGTATAATTTTTTTGACCCTGTGTTTTCTGACTGTTTTGCGACTAGACTTAGCATGATTTATGTTCTTATACTAATGCCTATAAACATAACCCTAATTTTATTCTGGATCTAATTACACAGCCTGAGCAGTGATGCCAGGATTTCATGCTTGCATCAAAATTTAATTATGAACTATTCATAGCATTAACACTGTAAAAAGTGACCTGAATAGCAAATTAAAAAAGAAGAAGAAAAAAAAAGCTGTTGTATCATAGTGGCAGAATTAAACACTTCTCCTCCCCCGGGACTTAATCTCAGGAGGGAACAGCTCTTTGTTGACATAGGGTGGCACGTGTCTGGCATAATTTAATTACACCCAAAAATCAAAGTGAAGAAGTCCCCTTCTCCTCTTGGATCAAGAAATACATTTGTGGGATTTTTTTCCCCACAGATTACTAACTTTACTAATGCCTTTTAAATAAACATTGAAAGAGAATTGCTAAATCAAATACTGAAATAGGAGCTTCTCAGAAATGAATATGCTTTTCCCCTCATTCTTCACAGCTTTTGCCATATTTGCAGTCCAACTTGACGGGATTTAAGCAGCTGGAAATTCTTAACTTCAGGAATGGAAGTGTTGTGGTAAACAGCAGGATGAAACTGGACAAGCCCGTACCTTATAATGTCACAGAAGCAGTGCACTGCGTGCTTGAAGACTTCTGTAATGCAGCTTCCAAAAGGCTTGATATTGAAATTGACAGTCGCTCCTTGGAAATAGAACCAGGTGAGATGTTCTTGCTTGTCCACTGCTCTGATTTGGTTCTTCTTTCTATTTAATAGAAAATAAATAATAAGTATGCACTGATTAGTGTGTGATTATGTGTTCTGACAAACTGATGTATTCCCATGACCTTGACCATGACAGAGCTCAAATTATATATGACCATTTAACATCTGTACATATGTATTTCCATCCTCTTTCTCATTATGTGTTACTCCTCCACCACTTTTGCTCAAACTCTTTTCTCATTTCCACACCGTCCCCTTCCCATCCTCAAGTCTCACCTCCTGAACTTAAGTCAGAACTAAAACACATGAAAAATGCATAAACCTGTTTATTTATCTCTGACACTCTTGCAATTACCTTTTGTAATACAACCTTCCTGTCTCCAGACATCTGACATAAAGCTAGCTAAACAACAAGAGTTGGTTATAAGCTAACGTTACGCTAGCTAATGTCAGGCTCAACTGTCCTAAAAATCACACTTTCCCAGTTTGATTACCTCTCATATCATATGAGAGTTTATGAGGTAAACAGATAACTGACAGTCCAGAGTTGTTTGTCCTAGAGGGCCACCGTAGATCGTATTATGCACTTGAATTGGAAGGCGTAAGAAAACAGAATTCAGCTGATTTCAATGTGAAATCTAATGATATCTAGTGGCAAGATTTTACACACTACCTTTAATTTTGTGTGTCTCCAAGCAAAAGCGAGATCACAGTTCATTCCCATGTTGTGTGAATAAAATATGCAGGCAAGGCGTAGGGAACAAAAATCCTTAATCTGCACATGCAGTGAATTATGCTTGTCAATATCACAAGGTTCGTGTTGACAGCTTATCTGCTGTCTGTTCACAGACTGTAACAAAGGTGTTGTGTATTGTGAGTTCATGATCACATGGAGCCATATTAACAGCACACGAAACAGAAAGCAGACACCTCTTGTCATATCAGCATGCCTTCTTATTTCCCCCCTGAATCTGCAAACATGGAACGACTGCATTAATGCTAGTGAACACTCAGCCCTCTGTCTACATTTCTTTCACCTCTCTCTCCTGTTTCCGTTGGTTTTAGCTGACCAGGCAGACCCCTGCAAGTTCCTGGCCTGCAATGAGTTTTCACGCTGTGTGATAAACAGTTGGACCAACGAGGCAGAGTGTCTGTGTGATCCAGGCTACAGCACAGTGGACGGGTTGCCTTGTCAGAGCACTTGCACCCTGCAGCCAAACTACTGCCTGAATGGAGGCCTGTGTGAAATAATCCCAGGCCACGGTGCAACCTGCAGGTACACACAAGCTGACAAATGAAAGGAAGCACAAACAAAATGACCTTAAAGTTTATACTAGGTCCTTATTTATTATTTATTTTTTTTAGCTGTGTTTGGATTTGATCCCTGATGTCACTTTCAGAGCCTTGAAGTTGGAAATCCACCATGTTTGTTTTTATTTTTCATTTGTTTTTCTTTTCTTTTTATCTTTATCCTGAATTGTAAGGCTGATGTAAACGTGTTGCTTTGTGGGGTACTCAAGGACATCCATCTCCTGAGAGCTGCTTGCTGAAAAATGTTGAATTCTACAACTGTGTTTAACACAATTTAAAGAGATGCATCCGGAGGCATTGCAGTAAGGATGAAAATGTGTATTTATTAATAACAATTATTATTATAGTTAGGCATCCAACTCGTAAAGGCTTTTTTAATTGTTCACAAATTTATCTTCAAGGATCATTCAGTCATTTATCAAGAACGCTACATATCTTTTTAATAGAAAGAATTTTTAATGTTTATGCAAATTTATACATATGCCATGAGGTATGCATTGAGACACAAGAACCTGAAAGCAATAGTGAGCTCATTTGAACACGTCTCAGGAAAAAGAAAGCAAAATTTTCATTTTCTACTATGAAAAATGTCATTACCTTCAAAGGGTGCTTCTTTCTAACTTCCAGTTAGGTCTGCAAATCTGGACAGCGACACAATTAGCATAATATGAGCTCTGTATTTCACAGTAATAGATTTGAAATTAAATGGCACATTTAAGTACAGAATTTCTTTGACCCCAGGGTTTGAAAAAATATACCGTTTTAAAGTTTTTGCAACTTTATAGACTGTATTGCAGACAATTACTGTCAGAATTCACAGCGCATTCACAGTGTGTTTTAGGTCACTGTAATGTCAAGTTCCATGCAATGAACTATGTTGCATTTGGCAGAATCAGTAAAAAAAACATTTTTTTTAGGTTCTCCTGTTGCTTTGTCACTAAACACTCAGTGACTGAGTCCCACTGGAACGCATGGCCATGCATGTTCCACAGGTGCTGAACCTCATTAACCATTCTGGTCTGCTTCCGTGCTTTTTTCTTTGCATCATTCTGTTACACGTTGATCTGAATTCCATCTGTCCTCTGGCTTTTGTCGACGTTTTTGAAAGGCCATTCACTATGCAAAAATAGCCTTTCTATTCTTGAGGCTGATGAATGGTTTTCACTATGTGGCGAAGCTCTCATAAAGCCGTGCCTTTGTGGAAGATTGTTTAATGACATGCCCATCTGCTGGAGAGTGTTTTTGACTTGGGGTGAGGTTGTTAAGGGGTTTTCTTTACCAAGTGATCATCCAACACAGTTATCTTGCATGACCTTCCAGCCCTTTTTAATTGGCCAAGCTCAACAGTGTGCCCTTTTTGTTCTCTGAACGTACCAAAGCATTGATTTGGACATTTTTATATTCCTGCCCACTCTCTTCTCTCTTGTTTCTTGTACTTGTTTTGTTTTTTGCAACCTATGCAAGGCATGTATCACTTGAATCGAAAGCTCTTTTAATCCCAATTTTGGGTTCGCAGTAACAGCTTCCAAGTGAAACGTCACAGATTTACTTTTTTGCTCAACTGATGATGAAATAAGAAAGGCCATATTTGGCCATAACTGTACCCAGTTATTATATATTAAAATTTTATTAAAATATTGTGCATAACTGCATGCATTTTTCTCATCTCTTTTAGATGCCCCGTGGGTAAATATTGGCACTACCATGGGGAACGCTGCAATGAGCTGGTGTCAGTGCCGGTAGACCCGTCACTAATTGTAACCTGCCTTGTGGGAAGTCTCTGCCTTGTTTGTGCCGTCCTTGGCGTTTTAATATTCATCAACAAGAAATGCATAAAAACCAGAAAGGCTGTAACTTTGGTGTAAGTATGAGCCCTATTTTCTGTGGTTTGTTTTTGTATACGTGACTATTTAGTCATTTTGTGTGGTATAGCCTACTGTTTCAAAAGCATTCATAATCTCCTTTACATTGTAGGCAGACTCTTGCCCCTTATGCCTTTGAGAATACTCTGAGGGAGAACCCAGTATTTGAGAATGACGATGGTGTCTTAACTCACGTGTCCACATTACCATGCCCGTCAACTTCTGCTTCCTCCCAGTCCCAACACTCTGAGCAAGAACATTTTGCCTCCATTGAAAATATACATTTGAGTATCGAGGTACACTGTGCTGTGTCGCACAGAAGACTAAACTACTAACCTCAGCTCTTCGGCTACTAATAACTAAAATACTCCAACCAATTCTGTTCTAACAAATACGTTAGTATTATTTAACTTAGAGCAAACTTTGGGTTGATCTCTGTCCTTCCATGCATTTAATCTAGGCTGACTTTTCATTTGTGTTTAAAATTGCTTCTTCAAAATATCTACATAGACTGACAATCTGCTCAGGGTGCAGCGACCATGTCAATCCATGACAGCTGGGATAGGCTCAGTGACCCTCAACTGGATGAGCAAAAGAAAATGGATTGATTGGTGGATGAATTACATTACAATGTCAAAAATATACTGCAGATTAAATCATTCACTGGGACTGAACATCCTCTGGTATGTTCAGTAGACACTCAGAGGTTTTTATCGACAAAATGAAAGAGTTAACCGCATGATCCATAACAAAAACCCAACCGCTGTGTGTAGTTTTAACAGTGAACTGTGTGCTGATTGCTGTAGTTACAGTCTCCTGGAGTAGACCCTTGAATAGTTAAGTGTTTGCTTTCATTTGCCTTTTATATGTTTATCCTGTTCAAATGCCTTTGTTTTAATAATACATTATTGAAGCGCACTGTAAATATGAAGCTTTTCTACTGCCTGCCTACACAGATCCCCAGACAACTCTACACAACAAGATCAGAAAGATTAGTCTCAGAAATGGTGGATTTTCATCACGGTATACCACACAATGAGGTAAGGAATATAAATGCACAATGTAAAATTGAGCTGTTATAAGATGTAGAATACATTTCAAGTTATATGCACTGATATTACAATTTAGGTGTTCAATAAGATTTAAAAAATAAGAAAATGTAATAACTTTAAACTGTAAATATTTTACAGCTATATGATGTTTGCAAAAGGTAAACCATCCGAGCAAGCAACTGTTTGAATGATTTTTCTTTTTACTCACAAACCAAATCACTGTTGACATTTGTGCAATTATTGCATTAACGCCTTCAAAATAAATTCTACACCTCTAATGAGCAGTTTCAAAATAAAATTGTGCCGATCAGCACTTCAGCAGCGTGCCTTTTATCATGTACCTTATGATTTAAGCAGTGCAAGCAAGTTGTAGATGCAGTTTCATTTTGTCATGTATAATTCCACCTGAAATGAGTCCATTTTTATTCTTGCTCTTGTCTGTTCCAGACGTGGCGACTGTCAAATGAATACAGAACGTGTCATGTTTTAAGGGCATCGGATAATGAATGTTTCGAAGTTTCAGTTCTCTGATGAATCCTTGTTCATTTGAAGATCTGTCAACTCACTAACACGGTGCGAAACAGGAGGGAGGAAAAAAAGAACTAATGTTGCTGTCTAACTGTATATGGGTGCAGATACCGTAAAGCAGTGATCCAGTTTAATTGTTCATAGTGATGAAAGTCTCTTATTAGACAGAGAGCTATGGATACTGCTGTGCACTTAGGTTGTGTTCAAGTGGAACCTAATATTTATTTTATATAATGAATGGTAGGAACATTTCCTGTATACCCTTGACAAAGGTTTTTCTTTCCTCACAATGAGGTATTTATTATTTACATAAATACAAGGTGTTTACCACCACCTTGCTTACAAAAGGTGGTATCTTTTGTTTAGACTTTATGATATTGTTTACGGCAATGCCATCTTTAACATTACTGTGTTCCAAAAAGAAACTGAATGCATAAAGTATTTGGTCATACATACTTTTATTCCTAAAAATACTGGCATCTGTACCATTTACAATTTTTAACCACAAATCATGTGTCCATTAATACCAGGACATTTGTTTTTGCACATTCTATTTAAAACAAAAGAATAAAAAGTTTTTGAATTAACAAAAACATTTTTCTTTGTTTTGGCAGCTCAGAGTGTGTTAGGTCTGTGTAATTTGATCATATGTAAAGAACGAATAAAGAATGAGTTTAAAGCCTGACGTCAACGAACTTGGTTTTTGAAATAAAATCAAGATGATTGTGTTTATGAGTCCTAAAGCACCGTACAGTATACTGTCAATTCACATGTACTACTGTGTAAAAGTCTTTACGCACTCATGTAATTTTTCTTTTTTAGTAGTTTTCAGCAATTGTTCTCCAGCCTCTTTGTGCTTTGGCTGAACCCCTGTTGTGTCTACACATAACAGAAAATGTTTTTAAACTATTAAAAAAAAAGAAAAGAAAAAAAAAGACACATTGCTAATAGCAACCTGTTGCAAAAACACTATTTTTTTTTCCAGTTTTTTTAGTTGAATCTATGAAAATGCCAAAGATGACACAGTTTGACAAGCAAAAAATATAATTTTCCCAGCAGGACTATCACTCAAAAACTAGGCATAAAAATTCCAGGAAACTGGTCATGGCCATGTTCTTGAGAAGCATGAAAAAAGCCAGCAAAGACCTGACACAGGAGCTGAGAGATACATCTGGCTATGCAGTTGATCTCTTTACTGTTTGCAGAAACACCATCAGAAATGGCCTACGTGGAAAGGGAAACAGGGAGAAAAAGCTAGGGTGTGTCAAATTACACAAGAACTAGACTGACAGTAAGTGGTGAGAGGTCTTTTGGAGCGATGATTCCAAGTTTGGAATTTTCACTTTTTTCAAATTGTAGTCAAAATGTACTGAGGAGGTCAGGAGCGAGATGCCAAAGTGCGTTTCTACAGCCATCTGTAAAAGACGCTGGAGCCTCTGTCATGGTTAGGTGGAACAAAAGCCTGCTAGCATCCAAAGCAGCGCTTTAAACATCCTTCAAGAAACCTGGAGAACTATTCCTAAAGACTACTTAAAGAAGTTACGAGAAAGCTGCCTAAGAGATTTCTGGCTGTGTTAAAGAATAAAGGTAGTCATACCTAATATTCACTTTCAAGCTCATTAGAATTGTACAAATGTTGCTTTTGCCTTGTAAACTGTATTTCTATATATGTTTGCACATGCTTTAATAAATCAGTACAACTATTTCATATTTTTATAGCAAAATACAAAGAAATAAGGGGTGAGCCAAGGCTTCTGCAAAGTCTGTACATTGAAACAGCCTAAGATCCTTGAGTTTTAATCCTGTTGATCACGTAATTGGACTCACGAGCATCAGCTCGGTGACATCTGCAGTGTGTTAGCATTTGTTGTTTAATTAACCTACATGCTAATCCTATTATCAGGAATTATCATCAGAATGTCAGATCCATTTACTGAGCACTGACCATTAACAGCTTGTTTGTGAATATTTGTGAATTAATTCGTGATTTTTCAGCCGTGTAGAATAACTTCAAAAGAAAAAACAAATCCAGGAATATATTTATTTTCTACAATCTTCCAGTTTCAAGGCCAACATACAAGAGAAAACCAAAGAAAAAACACATGAGAGTGATTCAATAGTTACATTGCTCTTGACTACTACATTTTAAACAAAGATTGACCCTTGAATAAGATGACTGAAACATTCCTGGCATAACCAACTGAGGAGTCAAGTAATAAACTTAAGAAAATACTACATAAACACAGCACACACACACACGCACGCACACAAATGACTGTCTGTAAAACAACCCCAAACCCAGAAAACTGCAAACATGAAAACAATTCCCTCTCAGATAACAAATGAGCAACAGTACAAAAGAAGTTTTTTCATGAAATTCCGTTGAGTTGTCAGAGCTCGTTAATGAATAATTAAATCAACTTATTATTATTCTGCCAGAAAAATGTATCCTACTTCATTAGGCTGTGTTGTGAGCAGTTGTGAGTATGACATTACAGTCTTCTATATTTGACCTGTGATATTTCACATTATTACATTAGATGCACATAATCTATACAAAGTGAATTTAATTTAACTCTTGGTTGTATGGCCTTGTATTCATGATTGTCACCTTTAAGTACTTTAATCTGATAAATAAATGTGGTGTTTTTCATTACTGTCATCTCATACGAGCCGCTAGTGCATGGGCAATTATTCATAGCCACATCGCAGCTATTTATAGACACTAAATGGCAATTATTGTTGTAATAATCAGAAAACTCATAAAGAATTAGAAGACAGTTATAACCCTTAAAAGCACGTCTGCTGAGGTTTTCATGATTTTGTCTAATATATTGTTGCTTTTGCAGACCATTAAGGTTTCGGGTTTATAGCTAAAAAGGCTATGCACCAATTAAGGCTTCTGTGGTGTAATGTTATTGCAATATAAGGCCTCACGGTCGGATATTCTACAAACATTGATTGGGAAAACCCCCCACAAGTTGTTATGCTACATCACTGAGATGTTCTACCGCAAGCTGTAAAGAAATGTTGAAAATCTAAAAATAATCAAAATAAAGTAAATCATAAATTGTCTACAGAAAGAATGTGTTTAGGGCATCTTTGTCTGTGGTTACTGTGGGTGCAGTGTTCTGCAACCTGAATGTGCATCTTTTATATTTGTCTGTGTATAGTGTTGTGTCTCAGTACGTAGACCACGCTTTTGACTTTTCCCTTATCTTGTGTGTTGCGGTTCACTTGAGAAGGTTCTGAAGCATGGCGGTAGCATATGTTGGGCGGGCCTGCTTGTTCTCAATGGCTTTCTTCAAGTACTGAATTCCATCACAGCGTTCCCAGATTTCTTCAAACTGCCTGGGCAGGATCTCCGCCCCTCTCTTCCGGGTCAAACCGGTCTCCTCCAGGCTCAGCTCACACATCTCCATGTCGTCTTTGCCTGAGCAGCCAAAGGGGAAGGATAAAGATTTACTAGCAGTGCATTCACTTGGACACTTGACATCACACAGTTTTAGCCAGAGTCATCTATTTATTAGACTACCACATGCCCATGCCCATGCTTGGCGTGTTTGCGCTGCTGGCAGTGAACTGAAAATGATACAGTGCTTTTATAAGGTGCTAAAGGTGCATAAAGCAAAAAAAAAAAAAGGGTCGTTTTAGCTCATTGTTAAGTGGTTGCTTGGCAACGTGACGACGTTATATCATATAATAATTTAACTTTTGTGGAGATAAATGAGATGCTACTGTCGTGAAATAAAAGAATAGGATGCTTTCATATGGGGTTATAGGTGCATAAAGGCAAAAACAAATAAATATAGCCTGATGGTAGATGGTTGCCATGCGAGCTAGCTTACAGTGTTATAATATATTATGTGTAACTGCTGTTCTTTGGCTATAAATTTGATGACACTGTGGTGACATAAAACAGATATGATGCTTTCATAAGGCGCTGTAGGTTCATAAATGCAAAAAACAGCCGGCTGCAAATCATTTCATAGGCAAGATGACAATGTCTGACAGATAATGTCATAATATGTGATTATCAGGGACCTAACGTATACTTGCCAAATTTGGTTGCTAAACTCCTAATCATACATTAGTTGGCAGCCAAAGAAACAAACAAATAAAAACACAAACAGAGAGTTCATGACCTCCAGGAAGATCATGTAGAGCTAAAATAGTGAATAAATGTGAACTGAAGTGTTTACTTTGGAGAAACTGCATTTTTTCATTCCTTCATGGCAACTTGTAGACTAAACCAGTGCCAGAAGATCCAGAAGATTAGGAATCCTCACAAGATTATAAAAGGGATATAACAGAGAAATCTGCTGCACAAAATGCCCAAAACAAACACATTTCTTGGAAGCATTTTTACTAATCATGTACATCACAATGATCATTGGCACTGAACTTAAGAGTGTCTGAGTTAAATTACACATTTTTTACTAAAATAAATCAATCAACAAATTATATATGTATATATATATATATAT